GTTAGATATTCAGACAGTACATCATATTTTAAAAAATACAGCAGTTCAAAATGTAAACAAACCGTTTGTTTACATTACGGACTTGACTTCCCCTTTAACATGTTGTATATTTACAGTCAAGCACAGTATAATAATCGTGTATACCTGTACTAAAACACAGTGATGTACTTCATCAGTTGTTTCATCAGCCATTAACGTTAACGTCACACCAGAATCAACTTTAATCACTTTTATTCTGTTCTCGCAACAATATGCCTCAATAAGACGACAAAACACTTGATTGGCAGGATCGTCTGATTTTACCAAGATACAAAATTGCACATTTTCAGCACCTCCCCTGGAAGAAAAACATTTTCAGTTTGTTAGATATTACTCAATGGTTGCCAAAACAAAACACCAAACAATCTACTGTATAATACACACATCCCATGAAATATTTAAAAATAGACCTGCATCAACTAATACTTCCCCTACACTACCAACACAGATTTTCTGTCTGAATCTAGGGAATGTGGGTGGATAAATGATTTCACCCATGCTAGAGAATACAGTTGTCCATGGCAACCCTGGGTGGGTCTTTCTAACTATCAATTAAAACTTCCATAAATCATCAGTTAATAAAATATGGAGGAGGATAAACTGAACTGGCAAGCATGTTATGCCAAACATGGAAAAGAGTGAAATGAGGAACAAGATATTTAGATGAGTTGTCGGAAGGACTCATGAGCATTGATTGAACTCATGAGCATTGAATTTAAAAAAAAAAAATGGATGCTCGTGAGGAATGGTGGCATTTATTTAATCATTGATATTCAAGCTAGCTTAAAATGATGATAAACTATTAAGAGATTGTCTATATCCACTGAAATATCACAAGCAACATTTTCAGCAAAATTAATTATAAAAAGTCAATATTCAACCCAGTACATTGTGCTGAAATTTAATAAATCATAAATCTTTCAAGCCAAACACCGGATAAAAACAGTTAAAATTCAAAGGATTTTTTACTACATTTTAACTGAGCCTTTCATTTACAATATATTGCAGTGTACCCGGATTATGGTTTTTATACTCGAGGTTTGACTGGCAACATATGAAATATAAAAGAGGTCATAGAAAGACAAAGAAAAAACAAAGACATAAGAATCTTCTGTCTGAGAATGCCGCCTCAAATAACAAGCTATGTATTTGCAATGAATATGTTCATGTTGCTAGTATGGATACAAATGTTGAAAAATTATGACACGTCATGCATTGGTATAACGGTAATAGTAACCAAGGGTAGAATATTTAATTTCAAAACAAAGATAATTATGTTACATATTAACAGTTATATTCTTCTATTTTGCATTGAAAGAAATCTGACGAAACTAAACTGACTTGCATCAAGCACACCAAAATGAACTCCATTTTATCTCTAAAACCCAAAAGCCTATGCCCTAGCAGTATACATTCAAATCAAAGTACAATAAAAAAATTCAAAGTTGTATAAAAATATATTGCTTACCTTCGCAAAACCTGCGCAGCTTCGTAGACACCACACACTAATTCACTTCTCTTCTTCGCTGACGATATTACATCAGCAAACGCTTTTCTTACAGTTCTCTTGCCGTACCTACCAAAACAGTGAAACAAATTATTTAACTTCCAAAATCTAGAAGTCAATTACCATAAAGTATAATAATTAAAGCTCCATGAGTATCATGTCACGCATGTCTCTGATATGTTTATCAACCAAACCTATATAACACTATCTATCCGTTAAAAAAGTCATCTTTTATTGTCTTTTATGCTTGCGAAACCAAACTCGGGCAGTATAAAACGCCAGTATAAATTTGAAATACATGTAAAGGATTCATCCTTTCTCAACGCCCCCGACATAACCTTGCTTAAACTGAAATTTCAAACAAAATATATCGCCTACCTGAGCACAAAACCACCGTCTTCTTCGATTCTCTTCATTTCCTCACTTGAGTGTTGTTTATCTATCTTTTCCAAGTTATAAACAGAGTAAATTCTCACTTTAAAGAACTAAATCCTTCGAGAGAGTAATACACGAACTGCTTTCGCCCGCTATCACATGAAAATGACGATGTTTACCACATGATGGCGTAACAAGACTTCAGAATGAGAAATATGTATTTCCCCGAGGGAAAGTCCCTCCTAGCTTTTCTCGCGTTATGATTGGCTAATCTAAAAGTTCGTCGCGTCTGATTGGTTGACTGTCACAAATTAATATACAGAGCAATGAAAAAGTCCCGCCTTCTCGCGGGAAACTACCTGATACTGGAGACACAGCTGGGAAACCACTGGGGGAAACCCGATATATGTGGCATGATCAAACACGTTGGGATCATGAGACCTCGCACCACTGAGAACGTAATCAGGCCTGATCAGGCCAAATACTTGTGACGAACAGCCCAGAGTATAAAACAGCCAAGCAAAACGACCCAGAATACAGTACATGTTGAAAATCCGTTTGTTTTTCCAACTTTTGCATAAAACAGTCACATGCAACGTGCTTCGCGTTATACTGTGTAAATGAAGCACACCTACGTTGTCGCAAACGAGTTGTGTGCTTGATTTACAGGTTACATGCGACAGTTTTACGCAAACGTTAACAAGCTTTCGTTGGTAGGAATGCAAATCATGCAACTACCTGAAAAATATACGGAAGAGTTTCGACGTTTCGAGCGAAGGCCCTTCGTCTGGATTATTAAAGCCAGCCACAACCAAACGAAGGGCCTTCGCTTGAAACTTCGAAATTCTGCTTGTATTTTTCAGGTAGTTGCATCGCTACCAATGAAAGCTTGTTATTATTGGCAGTACCTACACTGGCAGACAGTAGGCAAACGTTGTTTTAATAGGGTAAATCGACCTTTACTTCATCTTGCAATTCTGGCGCGAGGAACGTTTAAGGTACGTTTACGCGCTGCGTTTTTTATTGGGTCGATTTCAGATGCACTTTGGTAATATTTGAAAAATACGTGGCACACATTCGACAAAAGCGTTACGTTTACTATCTGCACACCGGCTGCAAACGAACATGTTTTTAGTTGTCTAAACTAACACTGTCAGCAAATCTTAGTCACGCTTCGAAGTTGGAGTAAAATGTTTTACATATTACAATATGGAATTAAATAATCAAGTCAAAGACGTTTCATGAGCTCGAGAAGGTCAGCTGCCTCGAATGAATTTCCTCAGCACTTTATGATTTTCCTGGAACTTAACGACCGGAAGTGCGTTTGTTCCGCTCACGTCATTTCCTTCCAGCGCTGTTCCAGCACGTCAATACACGCTTGAATGCCTGGAATGCCAGCTTGTTGCCAGTTGTATTTTATTCCGGATATGCTCTTAATACTTCATTTATAATTCATGAAGTACCTTACAGTAACCGACATAATAACGTTTTTGTCAACAATTGGTTTAAAACTAATTTTGAACTGTGACAGTGTCGGTAGCGCCAATAATATAAACAAGCTTTCGTCATATAACTAGTAATTTTGGCTGCATTTTGCATCATATAGCGCCATGTGAAGGCCAATTTAGACCACACAAATTTTGTTTCATAAAACTGTCGCATGCAACCTGCTCAAGTCCACAACTCACTTAGGCAAGTTGTATGTTGATTTACACAGTACAACTCAAGTTGTAAGTAGTAGGTTGCATGCGACAGTTTTTGGCAAAATTTGTGTAGTGTACAGGTAAGTTGGCCTTAAAGCCTGCTGGTTTCCATATGATCGTAAAAATAAATTCACCATCTTTCTCAACGGCCAGTTTATAATAGTTTATACCTGTAAACCACATATAAATCATAAGTATTCTCTAGTTATAATCAGTCCGCGTATTTTCAGTTCTAAAATGTTGTATTTCGGCTGATGAGAAAGATCGTGACTCAATCTTTACGACCGTTACGACCATATGGAAACCAGACTTATGGAAGCAAAAACCTTATGTTTTGTCATGTGTTGAAGATTAGCACAAACCGATACAAACACAATTTTAACCAGTCCCCCCAAAACGTCGCTTGCTTCTTAAGCTCCCCTATTGATTGAAACAAGGAATAAAAAAACTTAGCTCCCTATTGATTGAAATAAGGAATCAGAAAGCTTAGCTCCCTATTGATTGAAACAAGGAATCAGAAAACTAGCTTCCCTATTGATTGAAACAAGGAATCAGAGAACTTATAGCTTCCTATTGATTCAAACAAGGTGAATGAGAAAACTAGCTCCTTATTGATTCAAACAGAGAGTCAGCCTGCAATGCGTTGGCTAGAAATTTCCGAGTAAGACAGAAAAGAATCAAATACAGGGGGGGAGGGTGCGGGGCCATAGTTGTACGAAAGCCAAATATCAAGCGGATAGTGATTTTTTCAAACATTGACTGGTATAACCCAGACTAAACTCCAGTATTCACAACATCAAATTTTCTTTATTAAATTGTCCATATCTAGAGTTTCTACCACGGTGAAAACAATAACTATCCGGTAGCTATCCGGCCTTCGTACCAATAGGCCCCAGTTCAAAAGAGGCCCCCAAAGCGAGGAAGTCCTTAGAATTCCTTGATACAAGATTGCTTAACCGAATATATAAATTCTCATTGCTGAATAATATGGTAAAGAGTAATATATTGTAAACCACCGTTTTTCTCATGGAAAGTATTGCCGCAGGCCCTCTCGGCAACCCTGATACATGCCCTTACCCCCAAGAGGCTCTTACCTCTTGTGGAGGAAAGACCAGGGTAGGAGCTGAGCGAAGTTTGCCGTTTTTCAGTCATTTTGTATTACGCACGGGAAATTGATACCGCTTTCTGAAAAAAGGTATCAATTTCCCGTGCGTAATACAAAATGACTGAAAAACGGCAAACTTCGCAGGGCTATATTATCCGCATGTTACAACATTTCACAACGAAACTTTGGAATATTACTAACTTTGTGATGCTCTTTCAAGCTGTGATGAAATTTTTGTCTAGACGTGTCTGGTCCATTAAAAATCTGTTAGATTTTAGCAGATGACTGATCAGCTTCTACCAGGTATAAAAATGTTTAAATAATAATAATAATAATAATAATAGTAATAATAATAATAATAATAACAGTTCACTGAACTATGAACTGTTATACAGTTCACTGGACTTTCCTCCAGAAGAGATAAGGGAACGAGGTTAGATACATACATGGTACTTTTAGACTAATCTTCCAAGATAAAGAGTTCTGGGATATTTCTTCTGAAGTTGTTTCCACTGAACCAGGATCTGATCAGCAAAATAATACAGAATTTTCGCTGATAATGATAATGTTTCTACTCTACAAATACTTTCAATATATATCACTGAGACGTCTTGGAATCCAACAACCTTGGAGAAAATATGATAAGATTATTAAAATTCAATAGATGAGAGGTTTGGTAGGTGGAACGTAAATTTATAAATTTATAAACAATTTTTTAGACTTGATATTTGCTGTGTGGTGTAATGTACTCAGGTGAATAAGATGCTTGTGTGATGTTACTCTGAGTGTATATCCACACCGGGCAGCCTTGAAGAATATGCCTGGCCACGGTGGGAATCGAACCTACGACCTTTGGAATACTAGCCCAATGCTCTGCCAACTGAGCTACGCGGTCAGGTCGGTTCGAGTATGCAATATTTCGGAACAGAGTCTAGTTCCTTCGATATCAGTTTAACCTAATAATCATGATATTTGCTGTGTGGTGTAATGTACTCAGGTGAATAAGATGCTTTAGACTTGCAACCTTAGGGTCTGGTTGTGGCAAATGCTCCGCTACTTTGAAGTTAGCGTAACCGCCGCCACGTCATGACCCGCAATCACAAAGTACTCGCCATGTTTCTAGCCAGTGCGCTAAGGAAAAGTCGGCACCCCCCTGAAAATACTTAAAATGGATGGCTTGGCTTAGGCGTTCAGAGGGGCGAGTGCCTCTCATAAAGCGCTGGTTATGGCGAGCGTTACAGGTTAGGGACGCCTGGACTTTGTCGCTCAAACTTCAAAGACTAAACTAGAAGGCCGCAGCCGCAGATTCTATTTCTGCACACTAGAATATTTTTATATTTTCGTATGTATTAATATTACTAAAGCATACATACGGAAGCTATTATTATGTCACGAGAGAGAGTGCACGCACCAAAATTTCCGTGCGAAGAAATGAAAGCATAGGAAGGAGGGGCAAGGATTCATACCTTTAGTAGAAATGCAGCCAAACAAATAGGTATACAAGTTCCTGGACCATTGCATAAGATCTAAATAGGAAATAAACTCGTTTCATACACCAGCATTGTTCACGTTCTGTTTTACATAATCATTTTGAAATATGGATTAATGTTTGTTACGAAATAGACATATAAATATAATAGCCAGTGTGGATATGTTGCTCATTGTGTTGGGATATATAGATAAAAATGTTGTGTGGTTAGATTTTCCCCAAAGCCAAGTCTGTCACTCAAAGGGTTTTTAGTTGGAGGAAGAATTTATTCCCACCCACATTTTCGATTGCATTTTGTAACTCCCAAACAAGAATCCCTTTGAGAGGAAGATTTGGGACAAGTCTAGTCATTTCCTTGTACATTTCCGTGTAATATTTCTGACAGGTACTCGGTAGTTTATTATTGTGTTCTACTAAATATGTTAAAATATCACATTCACATCTTAAAGACCATGTAAAGTCCGTAATGTAAACAAACGCTTTGTTTACATTTTGAACTCAGTGCTACAGTTGTAAAATATGATTAGATATATATTATACTGAATTTTTAACACTCTTCTGGTTCGCTATGCTTGTAAATAAATACAGACCTACGAGAGATTCAATTCAAGAAAGTTCGGAAGGTGCGAAATATTAATAACATTCCAATGGTCGGGTCCCGACCATTGGAATGTAGGCCTGCGCAGAACGTATGCGCAGAACGGACTTTACATGGTCTTGATGGAGAGAATGCAACCGTAACTAGTTGTCATGTGTCTTTAAGAAGAAATGAAGTGCAGCCTACCAGCTGAGGTTTATGTCTGAAGACCAGTGGAAAAGAAAATAAGACTGATTTGAATGTAGTTATAACAGTTGAACTCCAAGATTGATGAACTTCGCGACTTCTGGGGATCTTTTCAAATTCATACTAAAAATAATAAAACACAAACAAGAAATATTACAGTATATTCTAAAATTGTCCATTGATTGCTGTAACCCAGATTAAACTTTCGTATTTAGAAATTAAAGTTTCTTTTTATTAATTGTGAGTAGAGCTGTGCAGTTCCAGAAATTTCATCTCGGTTCTAGTCTTTTTTGGGTGAAGAACCTCGATTCCGTGTCGGCATTTTTAACAGACGAACAACCCAAAGCATCGATCATTACCATTGATATCGGTTATAACAAGTTAAATGAACGATAGGGGTGCACCGGAACCAGTTTTGTATGTTCCGGCCGGAACCGGATCCGACCGGAACTGGAAAAAAGTTCCGGCCGGAAGTTCCGGCCGGAACCGAAACTAATATATTAAGCCATATATAGTCATATGTTACTTTGTCCGCTGCCAGACAGGCATACACTTCAAGTCATCAAGGAGAGAGCTCGCAAATGTTAGAATAAAAAGATTGACAAACGTTAAACGACTCATAATGAAGTGTTATAGTGTATATTTCCCTTTCGTAGTCCAAATTTCTTCCTACTGTGAACTTTTATTTGACACAAAACGTTTGATATTCTATCTCTCTGAAACAGATAGAGTTCCGGTTCCAGCCATGCTTTTTTTACTAGTTCCGGCCGGAACCGGAACTCTAAAAAATCGGGGTTCCGGCCGGAACTAACCGGCCGGAACCAAGTTCCGGTGCACCCCTAATGAACGAAGCAGGAACAATTGTGGGAAACCGAAACTACCAATTCTTTTGCACATGCTCGATGCTGACTTGCCAAAAAAAGTCCCAGACTGACCGATTATTTCGGTTAATTAACCGCATAGCTCTAATCCACATCCGTAGTGTTATAGGTTTTCAAGAAAAATCACTATCCGGTGTATAGCGCTCTATCAGCCTTCGTACACCCAAGAGCTTTAAAATATCCCCTCTGCACCAAGAATACGAGGCCTATACAAACCCTTAATTGAGTTTGGTTACAAGAAATAAGATCACAAGAAAACTGAAAGATATACACTGAAAACAGGCGTGTTGTGCAATAATAGATTTACACTAATTATTCTGTACTTTGTTTTCTTTTTCAAAATTCTTTATCTTCTCTGCACTCATATTGTCTGTGTTTGCCACAATATAGATTCTGGGATAATAACAACTTGACATTCCTGTAAGCAATGTGAGCATTTCTTTTGTGTGACCACCTGGAGGTTGAAAATAAGAACCATTTAACATTTTAACATAATGCACAGTCAAGGTTTGAGATCAGCATTTTTTCTGTAATCCATTGTGAATACCAGCATTTCTTAACCTGGTATCTGAAATCTTGTATCCAAATTCACAAAGAATTAGAAAATGAGGTTTTTCTTTAATTAATGACAGAATTCAATGTTAACTGAAAAGTTAACCACAATTTCAGACAGTATATCTTGACAGAACATGTGAAAATAAACATGACTTAGCCAAGAATTTCATGGGTATCCAAAATAGGATACTAAGCTTTCAACATCTGGTGTACAATATTACAACAAAACTTTCATTGGTAGGGATGCAACTACTTGAAAAATACAAGGAGAAATGCGATGTTTCAAGCCCTATAGTGCCACTACACTTCCCGACAAGGGCCTTCGGAGAAATGCGATGTTTCAAGCTAAGGCCCTATAGTGCCACTACACTTCCCGACAAGGGCCTTCGGAGAAATATCGAATTTCTCCTTGTATTTGTCAGGTATAGTTACATCCCTAGCAATGAAAGGTTTGTTATTATTGGCACGACCTACAACAGACTGTTCAAGATTATATCCCAAATTATAGACTGTCTGGTATCTTCAGGATACTAGAATACTGTACATCTCAACTCCTGTGTACAGTACATCTGCAGTTTTATACAAACCTACTAAGGGGCTGTTCACATGATCCAGGTTGTGCTGGGATGTACCCTGGTACAGGGAGTTTCCTGTTTAGCCTAAGCTGTAGTCAGGTGCAGCTGGCCAAGCTTGGAAACCCACTGGGCACAAGGTGATTGATCCAGTGCACCTGGGATGTACTTATAACAATTTTTGCAATTTAATCTGCCCTCAAATCTCAAATTTTCATTGTTTTTAACAAGTATCTAGCTACTTTTGTGTCCTTGACTGCATCTTGATTTCGATTTTCTAACATTTGCGCACCCGATCAAGATTTCGTCGAAAAGTGCGCAACTCTGCAGTCTGGTGATTGACTGACCTTGCAGAACCAATCAGATGTTTCCAATCAGATTTTGACCATACAGTACGGCCCTAATGAAAGTTAACCATTCTCGCTCGATGCTATCGAGGAAAATGTTTCGAGTATCGTAATCTCGAAACCCACTCGATAAAAATTCTCGCTCGCTCGATAGGCTTCTCGAAACGCGCTTCGGGTTACTCGATATACACAAGAATTTTGCGAGAAATCTCGATGCAAACATTCACGAGAATTCTCGCAGCGCTATACTGCGCATAAAATTTTTCGCATACGTAAATAATCTGCAACTACTGGTAGAAGTAACGTTGCTTCGCAAGTCCGTGCGAAAACACGGGGTAAACTGAAATTAACAATACAGAGTCAATTCTTGACTGATCTTTAAGGACAACATTAAAATCCAGAAACATTAAAATCCACAATCAATATTTTGAAATAAAGACGAAATACAATCTACAAAAATAAGTATATTTTACCTCCAAAAGATATCAACTTCGCTTTCCATGCCTTTCAATGCAGTATCGCTTAGACGTCACTTCCTTTGACCGCGATGACTACTTTATTTGCGCTCAGTAACTTCTCACGCGACACCACTAACAGTGTCTTATCAGCGTAAAAGTAAAACTTCGTCAAGTTTCTTGAAGACATCGCGTTCTTATTTCTATTTCTATAATATCTCTCAGAGCAGGCTCACCGACAGAGATCAAAACAGTAATGAGCCTAGTAAGACGCTTCAGATCTCAGTATAATTATAAATCAGACAGCATGTTTTTCACTGACATCATCTGTAACGCTCTTTTGTTTTCGATAATCCATACGAGACAATAAGTTGTCGGTGGAGTTCCTGTTATTGTGGTTGTAAAGATTGTGCATGAATACAGCTATCGGTTACTAAATGCAATCAACCGAAGCGAACTAACATTATAAGGCTATAATTATATAGATTGTTTTGGTGTATATGAGTCACACCGTAAAATTTTGGAAATAGTTTATTTCTAACGATAACGAGTACGTTGAGCCACTAATTCTAATAAAGTATATAATAGAAAGAGAGTGTTTTTTACCTACACTAACATGTAACACTTCGAATAAACAGACGCTGACTTAACCAGGCCACCAGGGAATTTTGTTTATCTTGAGGTTTTGTAAAGGTGAGTAACGAAATAATATAACCGCTATCACTCTATCATAGTTACATTTTTAGGGAACTGGTAAATATATGTCAAAATACGTGACGTTTTCCATGCAAGGAAACAGCAATTATCCTATATTTCGCCACATGTTGGTCAAACTCTCGCTCGATTTCGCACGATACAAACAATTTTCGAGAGCCCTCGCTCGATATCTAATTAAAGTCTTCGAGAACACTCGCTCGATATTAAAAATTTTCGAGAACGCTCGCTCGCTTCGCGCTCGCGTACTCGCAACTCGCAGATTTTTCGTTAGGGGTCAAATCGCGCTCGATAGCCTCTCGCTCGAACTCGCAACTCGCTCGTTACACGATGTTAACTTTCATTAGGGCTGTACTGTAGTATCCATATCACGGAACCGAGGGGAATCGATGGCATTTTGCCTTAATCGTTGCACCCTGAGCCTGCCATGAGCCAACGCAAACTCGATTTCTCGGCGACGAAGAAAACAGAAAACAGAAAAAGAGGGATTTAAGACACTTGGCCTACAGGCCAGTGTAATTAACAAATCCGTCATTAAACCAAAACATTGCCATTGGTTGGTTGGGCGAAAAATAATAAATGCACACATAACGATGAACTGACAATTTATTGCATAAGGGAAGACAGAAACATGCATAATGAGCACATTTTTGTGTCCATAGAGTTACCTAACTTTTGTCATTATATTGACAGTTGTTGGGACGATCACTCTCCATGAAGGCACTGGACACTAGTGTCGAAAGGTTACGTCGTGAATGCAATTCAACCAGGATTCCCTCAACAACACCTAACGGTTGTCAGCGAGGGTACACTCGTGCGCGATATATCTCCTAAAAATAGTGGGGGGGGGGGGGGGGGGGGGGG